ATAACAATAATGCCATTTTTGAAATTCAACTGGACTTGTTAACTAAGCTTTAAACATCTATAACTCTTGGGTTAAGCGCTTTAAATACACATACCTTACTCTTAACATTCTCCTTAAGGGTTTGAAAAGCCTCCGCTGAGTTTTGAGGATAAAATGTATTTTTTATGTCATGATTTCAGATGATTTTGCAGCATAAAAGCCTTCAATATTCGCCTACCTCCCCTACAACATCCGTGTGTGTTTCCGGGTTACTCAAACGTAATGACGCAAAGCATACGAAGGACGCCTGCGCTTAGCTTATGAATATTAATTACGTATCCCGGCGTTCACATAGTACCACTCTCTGATTGGTCACTAAGCAGGCTGACAATATGAATATTAATTAGGGTATGTACCAGGACGCTCCATCAAATTTACCAAGCAACGCTGGATTAATCGTTTATTTTTGTTCTTATAAGTTTAGTTAAAAGCGTCAGATAAAAACCTGGAGCTTTTTACCATGACTTCATCTTTTATTCAGTGCCTTTTATTTATAAGTATTATATTTCGGTTGTCCCAGACTTTTTAATCTTACAAAATAAAACCAGCCATTGTAAAATAATAATAATAATTTTCTTGTAAAATAATAATAATAATAATAATAATAATTAACCACGACATTTTGATACTAATAACGTCTTTTCAAAATGTACTCGGTTACCAAGGAAACAGCCGTATCCGTGAAGCACATGTTTGTGTCTTGAAATGAATGTGAAATATATGATAAAATTAGTGAAGAAAACTAAAATTAAGGTAAGAGTATACAGAACATTTATATCATGCGCGGTTTAAAAAAGTTATTTTGACAAAACATCAAAAAAAGGGTGAAAATATTGTATATTTTGTGTGTTTAGGGCACGTATATGCTAGCAATAAAATTAGCTTAAGCAAGAATTTGAAACATGTTGGAAATGTAATCCACCATGTCCACCGTCAAACACAATAATTTGAGATAAATGAGCAAATGACGTTTCAAAAAAAAAAAAATGTTTATGTCAGAATAGCATGTATTTGTATGTAAGTGTATACACTTTTGGACATTGTTAGTTGACACATTAAACCAGTGGAAGAGTGAAAGCTGTGTTTTTAGATAAACAAAAGAGCCCAGCATTGATTACACAAACATAAATGAAACGTAAGCATGACTACATTAATATTCATAGGTTTTGTCTTCGCCATATTTGAATTTTTAACTGCGCTACCGAGAGCTTCCACACGATGTCACTATAACACCGTTTACTATGTAACGCGCTGGTTTGAATAATTATATCTCTCAGATTACCTAAAGCGCATCAGTGTTGTACAGCATCACGAAATATCCTAAAAAATACGTTAAAGTATAAGAATTATAACTAATTAATGTAATCTGCCTACACGCATGAGTTTTAACTGATTCTGCATAGTAGCCTATGTTTTGCCAGTGTCCTGAAATAAAGTGGATTAACTGAGTCTGTTTGACAACCAAAACGTGACTGACAGTTTCAGGCCAGTTACAATTATTTCTACATCACTCTGAAAAGCTCCTGATATAAAGTCTGCTGAGCAAAGGCATGACAGTCTACATTGTTTGTCTACTTAGTTTATCTTTAGAAATGCATTGGTGTTGCAATGTATCATATATATTATTTTTCATTATTACTTTTGAGATTTAG